CACAAAAATCTGACTTTTTCACAAAAATCTGACTTTTTCACAAAAATCTGATTTTTCACAAAAATCTGAAATTTCAAATTTTTTCTCAAAAATGTGAAGTAGTCATCACATACAGAGCATCAACTAGTTCCTGAACAGTGTCCTTCACATGCTGATATCCAAGAGAGGGAGTTACACAGTCACAAGATGGAGGAATAGAAAGCAGTATTCAATGTTTACTTCAGATTCAGATTAGCTCCACGTCAGAAATGAGCATGCTTGTCATATGTCTATCTCCATAGAGGCTGAATCATCATGTTAATCACATAGCTATCGTATGCCTCAAACAGTCCTGATGCTCTTCTAGGTAATCATCATACATCCTGTCATGTTCACAGCTGCAGTTGGGATACCTTTGTTATCATGTTACTCTCATGTTGGAAGAGGACCTTCACTATTTTCACAACATATATGTATTATATATCGCTGTGTTCAGAGAGTAGAGCTCTGATTTAATTCCTGCTCTCAGAGATCTGGGCTGAGGGCCAAGAGGAGGAAACTGTGACCTTCAGCAGCACATCCTCCTCATAGAGGGCGTGGTCTCAAATGGTTTTAATGGGATATGAAACGTGCAGGGCTGGTGAATTGATCTGGTTCCTCAGAAACATCCCTCATTAAAGCAAACACCATTTTCAGCCCATTATTTCTTTAAATGGAGCTAATTGTACTGCTTTCTCAGGATGTCTTCTCGCTCTCTCCTTCCTCAGCGGCATCATTCAGCAGAGGGAGTTATGGGGGATTTAGATCAAATGAGTCCAATCACAGCTTGATTTGTAAACTTGTACGCAAGATCAAAACACACATTCCTCCCTGGTGATATTCATTTGTCTTCTCATTGATGTTTCTTCCGCCTCAGCAGTCTCTGTTTCAGATGCGTGAACAAACAGATACCAAGAGTCTGCAGGAATATAACAACGTTAATTATTATTATTCCAAATACATGCAGCATTTTAAACGTGTGAGCGAATCGCTGAAAGACTTTTGCACAGAATGGCTGCATCATGATCAGACTTCTGTACATCTTATCTTGTGCAGGGTGACTTTTAGACGTTGCTTTTCTTGTTGGAAATGTCATTACGTTTGGAGGAGTGCTTACAATAAGTCTTAAAGTCAAAACATGGGTGCAAACAGAGTCACTTGGGTCTGTTAGGGTTAGTATCTGATGGTTTGTTAGTCAGTTATGTCCCGTACTTTAAGACCTTTAGACTCTTATTCTTGTGAGCTACGTCTAAGAAAATTAGTTTCTCCTCTAGGCGCCATCAGATGTGTGTGTTTGGAGATCTTTAATCCACTTGTTGTAAAGACAGTGAAGTAGTTCTTCTGTCCTTCAGGGTCAGAGTGTGTGTGTCAGTGATTGCTGATGCTATCCTGCTATCTGTGGCTAACGTTGAGATAAGTGAGAGGTCAGCTGATCAGAGACGTGATGACCTCTGCAGACACTGATTAGCTTTCTGTTTGCGCGTCACACAGGAAGAGCAGGTGTCTCTAAAGTTAGTGTGTCAGACAGTCAACGATACAAACTCCTGACTGCTCTCTTTATCTCCTCACAAATGTTAAAAAGACTTTAGAAATGATCCCTTTTCTCTCATAGGAGACTTGTCAAATGTAAATTGCATGTTTTAAAAGTGTGTTTTATTATTAATGAGTCTTAAAAACCTTTTATTTTTTACGTCTGACTATTATAACCTCTCCTGGTTTAGCTTAAATCTTCATTTTCTTCTTATATATTTAGAAATGGTTTCCAATTCTTACATTTTTCCACACCAATTTGTTTTATATGTTATCATTTTAATTTGAGGGTCCTTAGAAATATTATTAAGACTCGTAAGGATTCCTTTTCTCTCACGGTGGCAAATGTACATTGTAAATCTATAAAGCCTTATATTTCTGCTTAGTCCTAAGGCTTTGAAGTTCTTGGTTTTATAGTCACTCCCAGTCCGTGTTTAAGACGTGTTTTCTCTTCATATTATCTCCTGTTCCTCTCCATCCACGATCTCACGGTTTCCTTTCTGTGTTTCAGGGAGCGAGAGTTCAGAACTCAGCCAAGAATCTGGGCGTGAGAGATCGAACGCCTTCATCTGTCCCGAGGTAACACACACATTTGATATAGTCTACTTGTATTCTTCACACACACACACACACACACACACACACACACACACACACACACACAACACACCAGTGTTTTTGTGCAGTGTTGTAGCTATGTGTGTTAGCTAGGACTGTGTGTGTGTGTGTGTGTGTGTGTGTGTGTGTGTTGTGTGTGTGTGTGTGTGTGTGTGTGTATGTGTGTGTGTGTGTGTGTGTGTGTGGTGTGGTGTGTGTAAAACTGTAGGTCTCTGTGAGTGGTTTTTGTGTAGATGTGTGTGTGTTTTGTGCAGAAATGTAGTCATGTGTGTGTGCATTATGTGAAAGAATGTTGATTACAGTTTTCAGGACTGTAAGTGTGTGTGTGCTTCTTTTGTATGTCTGTGTGTGAGTGCTTTTTGTGTAGATGTGTAGGTCTTTGTGTGTTTCTGTCCAGGTGTGTCCCTGAGCTTTCACTGCAGGACTGTATGCATGGGTTTTGTGCAGAAATGTTGTCGTGTGTGCAAGAATGTTAGTTATTTATCTGTGCTTCTTGTGTGTGTGTGTGTGTGTGTGTGTGTGTGTATTGTGCAGCACTGAGGCTCCTCCCCCTCCCCCCTCTGTTAGTGGGTGACGTCCTCAGTGTGACAGACGGCCCTTTGAACCTCTTAGTGAAATTGACAAATATAATTAAGTGTGTGTGGATGATTAGTGTGGAGACGCTGAGAGGGAGTGTGTGTGTGTGTGTGTGTGTGTGTCAGAGCCCAGTGACTGCTGCAGAATGTGTGTGTGTGTGATCAGTATCATGAGACATTAGCTGCCTGTTCTCTTATCTGTGGAGTAATGTCAGTGAGCGTTCACCCTGCAGCGTTTTCTCCTCCAGATCTGAGCGTGTGTGTGATTATTAAACTTCAGCAGGGCATGAAATACAGCTGAGAGCAAAGAAAACTGTACGTAAAACAGAAGAATGTGTAAGATATGGAGAAAATGTGAACAAACATGTCGTTAAAGTCATGTTTCCTGCAGAACACACCATCAACATGTGTTGTGAGGATTCCTTATAATGTTAATAAGTGAGTTTACCCTGCAGCCTTTTCTCATCGAGACCACAAGATGTGAGCGGTGTAATCGATTATTTAAACTACAGCAGTGAATTAAATACAGCTGATATGTCTAAAAATGTACAGAGAATAAAATAAATACTGATTATTGAGCAGAATAATACAGAAAACATGTAAAAGTCCTGTTTCCTGCAGACCAATGCTTCACTGTGACACGTGCATACTGTAGTTAGGACTATTCCTTATAAAGTCATATTTTAGAATCTTCCTCTTGCAATAGTTCATTTAGCAGCAGCAGCACTTACTCACCTCTAAAGTCATGTTTATCAGTTGGAATATATGTGTTGTTGTTGTTGTATTTACAGCTCAGTGTCGGACAGTTATTCCTCCGTGCTGACGTGCAGCTTATTTTCTGAAACCAAGAGCATTTAAAACACACTGCGCTGCTTCGTTTTCATGCGCTATGCAACAGAATGTAATTAAGAAACGTCCGTTTGTTTCTCTCTTCAGGTTGTATAAGCTGTGCCAGCCTCCACCCCCCGATGGCGACCCATAATGCATTGGGAGAAGCCGATGAAGGATGCCCCAATAAAAGAAATCCATTGTTATATCTCCACAGTAGCTGCCTAAAGTGTAAATAGAATAAGGAAATAGTATTTTTTAATACTTCATATTTTTATTGCTGTACTTTATAAATATTATGTTTTTATTTCAATGTATGTGAAAAGACTCGGAGCGAGAACACATCCTGAGAAAGCAGTCAAATGAGCCGAGGAAATCATGAAATGGGCTGAAAATGATGTTTGCTTTAATGAGGGATGTTTGCATTTCATTTGAGTTAAACTTGCATCTAAACCATGCAATTTAATGATAATTAAAGAGCATATTTGGCCTCTATTTCTCCTCAGCTCTGCCTCTATTGCTCAGTGTTGGATAACAGTGTGTTTTCTAACCTTTATTGTAAATATTCATGTGTGTGAAGGTGCCTTTAAGTGTTTTACAGCTGCAGATGTTTATCAGTATTACCATGAATCAGGTTTGAGAGATATTCTGTTTTTCTATATGGACAGAAATCAGGATTAAGTGTCTCTGTTACTTCTTATTGGACGCCTCGATCACTACTATGCAAACAAACAAACAAACAGGTGGTATTAAATCAATAAGCTCGAGTTAACACGCTGTCATTTATATGAGAAGTTATAACATGTATGAAGACTTGAAATGACCTTTTTATACGCCACTAACCCGTTGTTATAATGTATTACAAAACTTTGATATCAAGAAATGACTTTTTATTGAGTTTTACACATTTCATATCACATTGGTTATAGGAGTTCAAAGTGTTGAATATATTATATTTCCTCGTTAAAATGTACACATGTGACTAGAATTACTCAATATATTGAGTTTTATCTCATCAATTAGACTTTTTATTTCATATTTAAGACTTTATCTTATTATGATTTGTTTTTGTCATTATTGTGACTTTTATCTAATCATTTGGACTTTCTACGTACCTCATAATATTGACTTTTTAGCCCATAATTATGACTTTATTTAATAATTTAGTCTCTAAATCACATGATAATGGCTCATTAGTCACTATTTCCAACATTAAACTCAGTTATTGATTTTTTATGTCATGATATCACTTTTCTATCTGTAATTATGGGGTAATGGACTTCCATAGTCCAAGATTTAGCACAAAACAAACCAGTTGATCTTCCGGTAATTAGCAGAATGCCTCTGCGCACCTGCTGTTGCGCAGCTGGCTGTCGGTCAGGTGGACCAAGATCAGGAACCGGAGAAAAGGCTCTGCTGTAGCCGGAGAGGAGGGTCTGTTCCTCCGTCACTGAGCTCCACAGAGGGGGGGGATGGTGATGATCCTCCGCCTGCACACCCTCTCTCTGCAGGACGTCTTTTGGGGACATATGGCACATTTCATCCCCTCATGATCTCATCCCGATAAAAAAAAAAAACTCCACAGTCAGTTTTCCTCATGGCGTCTCCGCAACAGTCCCGGATCCAGTCCTATCTGGAGAAGAACAAAATCGGACGGCTGTTTGAGGTGAGTGCCAAGTTTAGGAGACATGAAGAGAGACACGCACGGTGTCCACTCCCTCTTTACTCTGTTTTAAATCCTCTGCTGGTGCACTCTGGTGTCGTTAATGTGAGATCATGTAGTGCAGGAACTCAGCAGGATGAATGATGCACATGTCCATGCAGCATTCTGCACGTTTAGGGAGGATTCTGCAGGACGGGATACTCTGAGGGAAGTTATAGAGGCAGTTGTAATCGGGATGTGTTTAACGAGCCTCTAACTGCCTGTCAGTGCGTGTGTGTGCGTGTCACTCGGGGATGTCTGTGTGTCAGTCAGAGATGTGTGTGTGTCAGTCAGAGATGTGTGTGTGTGTGTGTCAGTCAGAGATGTGTGTGTGTCAGTCAGAGATGTGTGTGTGTCAGTCAGAGATGTGTGTGTGTGTGTGTGTGTGTCAGTCAGAGATGTGTGTGTGTGTGCATCCCGGGGTGATTCTCAGCATGACTTCATCCTTTTGTTTGCTGCTGGATCTCCTGTTGTTGGCACACAGGTGTGAGGGAGGGATGGAGAGAGGAGACATGCATCTGCTTACATCTTGTACAACAAAAAGCAGTTTTTTTCTCTATGTCCATGAAATGCAGGAGTAGGATGACATGCAGTGTGTTTTATGGCATGATGTGTGTTTCACAGAATGCTGACATGTCACTTTGTAGCAGCAGCACACGGGCTGCATGTTAATGTGAGATGTGTGTGTGTGTGTGTTTTCTGTGTTTGTTTTTCCATCTCCCCGCTCCACCTGCCCCCCCCCACCCCCCCCCCCCCCCTCTGTGCATCACTTTGTGTTTCCTCTGTGCACAATTACATGGTGTCGCCTTTATGTGACAACTGGAGCTGATAAAAGCAAAGACCACAGCTTTGATATATTCCCTCGTCCTGCTGTGTGTCCTTTACACACCCAGCAGAGGTGTTATTCACACCAACAAACACACGAGCTGTCCCAGTGAGTTTCAGAATGGGTGTGTGTTCCCCCTCTGAATGAGAGGATATCTGGAGTTTCTTCCACCTCTTGTTGAAACGCTTGAAAAGCTTCTGGCCGTCTCGTTGTTGTCCCGGAGAAGAAGTCATCCATGTGCACCGAGCTGTGCAGGAACAAGCCTCTCTCTCAGGAGCAGAGGGATCTGTCATTTCCCTTTTCTATCTGATCCAGAGGGTTGGCAGCAGAAGTAATGATACAGATGTTCTGCTGGGTGCGTTTACTGAAAGGAGGGATTTGCAACTCAAACGTGAGTCTGGGGAGATGACAGAAATCTATTTCAAAATACAAAGCAAAGTAAAGAAATGTCGGTGTTTATCACTCGATGATCTGGCTCACTCTTGGACCGATCAGCCCTTTATTCTTATTTTTTTATGACTATACGTCATTTATCAACAACTACTTCAGGAGCAAACGGCTAAACATTACCCTCTTTTGTCGTGGCCCAAAAACTGAAACCAATACAATAGTTTGTCTCTTATTAAACCAGACTTTCTGCAGATGAATTACATACCTTATGATATGGTACATGTTGGCACAATAAATCCACCTTTATTTTCTGTGCCGTGGCTTGATTGTAAGGAAGCCTGCAGGGACAATCGGGTGAGATTTGAGAAAGATTGAAAGGCTTTATTATCACATTTATTTGAGCTAAAGTGTCGTTTTTTGGGCAATAGAAATCTAAAGTCCCATGCTCCTCAATTATTGTGACGTACAAAATACTTAGGACATAAAGAAATATGGAAATGAAATAGAGCAAGCGACACAATGGTGCATATAAACTGCTCAAACGCAGCTAAAAAGTGAGAATTTGACGCTCTGAACGGATGATTTTGGGCTTAAACTGAACCTAATCTCAACAATGAAGGAGCTAGTTCCTCACAGACACAGAGTGGACAGTAAATGAAGTCATCTCCACAGGACGTACAATAAATGATCCCTCTGGTTGTTTCCATGAGAGCAGCAAAACCCAAATGTGTCTGAGCAGCATGACTCTCTTAAAGGTCATCTTACTTGGTGTATTTCTGTAATATGATGAGTCCAGCATCCTTCAAAGCACCTGGGTGTCCTGCAGGAACTAAGCTGCTCTCTAATGTAGACTGTCTTTACTTCCTGTTCTGTAAACTCCACCTGATCGATGCATTTCTTCATCATTCCTCTCGAACATCCCCTCCCTTTCATTTACTCTGACGAGACGCAGCTGTGATTCCCCTTCACATTGACCCCCTCCCCAAACCCCCTAATGAAATGGTTGCTGTGCAGAGGTCTCAAGTCCTCCAGAAATCCTCCAGAAATTGAAGAAGAAGCAGCTTTTTCTTGATAATTGAAGTAATTGCACGTCAGCCACTTTATGATTAATTGATTTTCTTTGCAAACACCTCTTTTCCAATGACTGCAGTGCAGCAGGAGGAATTACAGCCATTACAGAAAGCTTAGGGATGCTGCGTGTGAGGCACATATTGATGCAAAAGTGTGTGTAACTGGATCGAAATAAATTAAGGGGATTTACGCATTTAAACTCGTAGAAAGCGACTAGTTTGAGGTGTAAAACCCTCTCTTATTCGTCCGTCAGTCATATCTTCTGTGATTTATTTGATGCAACACGGAGATGATGGATCATATGAGAGAGTCTAAATCAAAGAATGTCCTTGGATTGAACTGTAATTGCTGAAGAAGTCAAATTGTAAGACATTACACTGTTTTTGTGGAATAATAAGAGTCATTTTGAAAGTCTGACTGTCTCCTAAAAGCTTGAAGATATGTCTGATAATATCTATAATTCTGCCTCAGCTCCGTCATGACTACTTGCTGATATAAATGATTGGATCTGATTCATTAAACTGAGAGGGTAACATACATAACATGTTCAATAATCAGTGTCATGGAATCAGATGAGATGTGCTTAATTGATCCCTGATTGGTAAAGGCTGCAGGCATAGCATATGAGGGAATAGAGATCAACAGTAGAGAGAGATAACAATCTATGGTTTCTTTAGAAAACACCCCTAAAAAATACAGAAATACGTGTTTTTTCTTGTGTATTTCTCTGTTGTAGTTAAGAAGTGTAACAGCCTCACACTTCCTCTCACACAACAGGAGGAATGATCCCAAGTAGTTACAGATTTAAAATCGATGAGAAGGAATCAAAAACGCCGTGGAGCTGAACGTCCAATCAGCCGAGACGTTCAGGTGCAGTGAGGCTGCTCCGTCAAGTTTAATGACTTCACACACACACACACACACACACACACACACACACACACACACACCACACACACACACACACACACACACACACACACACACACACACACACAACACACACACACACACACACACACACACACACACACACACACACACATAAATTACGGGACAAAAGTTGTATTTAAAAGTAAGCATAGGACACCAAACCAACTGAGACCCGTCTGTCCGCTGCATCTACACTCACTCACTCACTCACACACACACACACACACACACACACACACCTCACACACACTCACACTCACTCACTCACACACACACTCACTCACTCACACCCTCACACCAAACACACACCCACACACACTCACAGTCTGACATATTGATCCCCTCAGAGGTCATTTATCGGACTCTATGATTGGTCTTGAGTGTTCTTCCCCTGCAGCAGTTGTTCTCTGACTTCCTGCACGTTATTTCTGCATTCATGAATTTGTAATCATGCACAATATGGATTTGTTTAAAGCAAACACCACTAACAGATAATGACCTGCTTCTCAGGGCTGATAGCATAAGATTAGAGATCATTTGTGTTTTAAAAAGACGTTTGTATTGTGATATCAGTATGTAGTGTCTCTACTGTGACATGTTTCCATGCTTTAATGTTCAAAAAGCTCTTTGGACTCTGATTGGTCGACCTGAGAGCTAGAAGTTACAGCATTATCCAGATCTCTTCAATGAAAGAGTGGATTGTTTTACTTTTGAAGGTGTTAAATCCATGTTAAGCTAAATATGACCCATAGTAGAGTAGTGTTACCCACTATAAAACATGTCTGCATGCTTTTCAACATATAATATTAAGCATTTCTGGTCTGAAAGAAACCTAAATGTAGTCGAAACATCAATATTCAGTCCCCTTTTTACTCATGCAGAGAAATGACACTCGCCATATTTCTTATTCTGTTTAAATATGTAAGCAATGATGGAAATGGACTTGAGGCGAAGCTGCAGGATGAGGGAGGGGATCTATTTCCTGTGAGTATCAGTGGGCATACAGCTTCTCCTCTGATGAGTCAAATGATCGTATCATCATTTCAAACATATACTCTGATTGCCTTTTACTCTGTCAAATTGTATTTGTAGTCTTGTATGTGTTTAACAGAGACAGATGTTAAGGATTTACATTTCAGGAAGGGTAAAGGAAGTGAGAGGTGGATTTACAAATGGTTAAGGACGAGGGGGTTTAATGGTTTGATGATGGGGTGTTAGATGATGCCTAAGAGAATGTAAGGGGGGACCAGTTGGATATTCTCTCTACTATATAGTGTTTCTGTTAGCTGTGTTCAGGCCATGTTATCCTCTGAGGATGAAGCTGCTCTGATCCTGCATTCAGATCCATTTCACTTGTATATTGACTTTCTTTATTACTTTATTAAATATAACAAAAGACAAACTTTGTCCATGAATCATTGATCAGTTTCTCTTGAGACTTGCCTCCACAAACATCACGTCACTCTCCTCTCTTCCTCCGATAACGACCTTTCTCCGCATGTGACCCTGCATTCCCTCGTTCCTCTGGCAAACAGGAGGTAAATCAGACGTCTGAGGGACAGGGAGACTCCTGGGGGGTGGAGGAGATGTTTCTGCATTTTAATGTTTTAATACAAGGACACGCATTCCCAGAGAGTCTGAGTATCGTTCAGGAGACGCAGAGGAACATGTGATGCAAATGCATGCAGTATATTGCACACAGTAGTATCAGTATATTCAGAGATGGCAAAAGTACACACATCCT